TTTGATGACGTCATCGTCCATACGAGGCGTACGTAAAACAGAGGGTTCGTATAACTGGGGTACGTAAAAACGAGGTTCTATTGTACGATAAAGCCACAGTACCACACTAAAACTATCTTTGTCGTCATAGGCCTATTTATATTGTATTTTTTGTCTTCTTAGTTTTCTGAATCTGAAACATGTTGTCAATGAACGTGCGGCTGAGTAGGGAAAACAATAAACGTGATTTTTTTTTGTTTTTTTTTTTTGTAAGACTGGTGAACGTGTTTTTTTTTTTTTAAGAACTGGTGAAAAGTGTAATAAGAAATCTAAGCGAAATGTTAGACAATTTGTACCCTAGTAATGTGAAATTACAATTTTAAAGCCCAGTAGAATTAACATTATCAGATAAAATCATTAACAGATAAAATACACGACAAGATTCTTTCCTAATGAACTCGTGTACTGTACATTGCCTGTGCCCGCTGTAATCATTTTGAAGTGAGTCAAAGTTTAGACGACGTTTAATCATGGACGTATAAAATTAATGGTTTAATTAATGATCGTCGAAGTCGGCCTTGGTAAGGAGGCTGGTTTGCGATGGCTATTCGTAGTCCCAGCACAACGTTTTTCAATGAAAAATACTCTCGTTGAAATACAGTATGATAATTTAAATACACAGTATGATAAAGCCACAGTATAACCGTACAACTTTATTTGTCGTCATAGGCCGATTGATATTGTATTTTTGGTGTTCTGGGTTTCTGAATCTGAAACATGTTCGTACTGCCACGTCATCCTCTCGATGCCAATGTGTAGTCAATGACCGTGCGCCTAAGTAGGAAAAAAACCAAACTTTTTTTTTTTTTTTTTTTCTAGAACTGGTGAAAAGTGTAGCAACAAATCTAGGCGAAATGTTAGGAAATTTCTACCCCAGTAATGTGAAATTACAATTTTAAAGCCCAGAGAATTAAAATTAACAGATAAAATAAAATCAACAGATAAAATAAAATCATTAACGGATAAAATGCACTACAAGATTCCTTCTTAATAAACACTTGTACATTGCCTGAGCCAAAGTTTGGATGATTTGTTGTAAAGTGGTTTCGTGGAAAGTCGGCCTTGGTAAGGAGGTTGGATTGCACCGACAATTCGTAGTCGCAATGAGAGTTACACGACGTTTTTCAATGAAAATTCCTCTCGTTTATATATACTGTTTATACACAGAACGATAACGTCACAGTACCACTGTATATTAAAACTTTATTTCTAGTTACTCTATAATAAATTGTGTTTTGTATTTTGTTTTGCTGTCATTTTATATATAAAAAAGTTTTATAACAACAGTAGGCCTATACCAAGAAAATAATTTTATATTTATTTTATATAATAAGAAAAAAATGAATGTGAAAATGGCCCACTTCCCCATTCTCTCTGTGTTTTGTTTAAAAAAAAAATAGTTTTATGAAATATTGACCAATCAGTGATTACGACTACATATCAATGTGCATAAATACGAGCAGCATAAGCTTGTACTGCACAATCCTGTTCAGTTTTCTATATCAGTAATATCGATAATGTTATCTCGTAAACGATCAACTATTCCAAGGGAGGCCCTTGTTTACTTTCCGGATGAGGAATGTTTGAGTGTTGTCAAGACAACTCTAATAGTCGTTGATGTATATGAAGACGCAGAGGTGGATGTCTTATGGGAAGGAGAGTCAGTGCCTGCAGTTATCCGAAAATTGTCAAGTAAGTTCATTGCTTTATTTTCATGATAAGGCCAAAAAAAAAACTTGTTTGTTTGCCGTCATCCGCCGCCCCTAAAATCCGAAAAATCAGGGGCGGGGTTTTTTTTTTTTTTGCTAAAATGTGTTTTTTTTTGTTAAAAAAAGTCAATTATTTTTTGCCATCGGCTTCTTAGCCCGCCCTCTACGTCCGTTTTACGCTGGGGAACAGTAAACTTTTTCTCTACTCATGGCGTGGTCAGGCCTGCTCGTTGTGTGTTGGTAGGTAGCTGCAGCTGCACAATGTCGGTTGTTGCGATTTGCACCATATTTTTGGATAAAATAAAAGTAAGATCAATTGTTTCACGTCTTAAGACGACGTTGACGTTCTCAGATGCGTTTATGTCTTTGAAAACTGGTACTGCGATTCTTGAAGATGTTCATATTGCCAAGGATTCAAACGGACCACGGCACGAAGTCGAGCCAGATGAAGTTGTTGATGTCATGTAATCGTTATCTATGGCGCATGTGCAGTTTTAGTCCAAAAATGCATTTGTTGTACCCGAAGCAGCAGCAGCAGAAGTCAGAGAACAACAAAATGCATTTTCTGTGTTGTATGACTGTCTCTTATACACATCTAGATGTGTATAAGAGACAGGCACAATACAATAATAACTTTATTGATTGCAACGCAAGTCGACAACGAGATGCATACAATAGAATGAAAGCAGTTTCTTCACATACGTACCATAATAAATACAATATTCATCTAATCAATTGTTTGAGGTGTTTTTTTAAATATAATATTGAAGTGTTATATAAGGGCTTTCTGGATCTGCATTAGGCCTAGTTGGGCGCTAACGTTAAGAAACCTTCGTGAGAAGAAAATAAACACAGACGTATGATACAATGATGTCATAGAACTGTTTCACTATCGTCACGAATTACAGAGAAATTGGTTGTGTAGCCTAGAGACAGCCTCATGGGGAAAGAACAAAGAATTGGAATGACGTAATATCGCTTCAAGTAGTTTATTTCATTTATTGTTTTATACTTTCCTTCTCTGGCGGGCTAACTAGCCTAGGCCTAGCCTAGCCTAAACGCACTGGTACCGCCTCCTCTCCTCCAAGTAAGTACTGTAGTCGTAGCCGTACTTACTTGGCCTAGGCCAAGAGTTACAATGTACTCTAGGCGTAGGCTAGTAATAGACTTAAGTCCTAGGTTAGGCCTGCATTGTTTCCTAGGCCAGTGATATTGCCTTGTCCTTAGGCCTGTGTCTCTAGGCCTAGCATAAACTTATTTTACGAGAACGGTGAACCGACTTCTGTGTTCACTGTTTTCGTTACAGCAACGGTGGTTGACATTCGGCCTAGGCCTGGTCCATATTTTCAGTTTGTGCCCTTTTTTTCTTTTCAATGCTAATCCCTACAAACCATCCCCTATACAAAAAGTAAGCTGCTTATATTTAAGAAATTTTGAGCAAGACAATAAGATTCCGTAACCCATTTTAGCAGGTTTATAGTTAGACCATGCAAACTTTATCCTCTCAAACTCTTCTTCATTGGTAGGTCTTTGTACGCAGAGGAATAACATTTGCAAATCACATAGAATTTGCCTTCTACTCTGGATGAATTGGCAAACCATTAACCTGCTGTTATTGTGGTGAAGACGGTGGATCAAGGCCGCAAGAACTTGTTATAAAATACAAAGTGGTCTTGCCCATTTGTGGTGAATGCCACAAGGAGTGTCGAGAATGCCCACGTCATTAATAATGCAGAGATATGTAATATGATTGTAGGCTTATATGATGGCTTTGGCAACGTACACTTGTATATTCACAATAAAAATGTTTAAATGAATTAAAGAAAATTTGTGTTCATTCATTTCTTTATTGTAATTCAAACTTTCACAAAAAACTAAATAAAAAATCATACACATATGCTGAGATACCAACATGACCAATATCAAATGAAGCTGGTGAGCTTGACCAGGGAAATATATTCAGTTTATACTGTACATTTAAAAAAAAAAAAAAAAAAAAACTTTTTTATATCACCCCTAATGACATTTACAAACATTTATAAAGACAGTTTTGGTATTTTTCTTTTAAAAAAAAAAAAAAAAAAAACTTTTTTCCACCCGCCCCTTCACTTAAATATTTACAATGTGACAACAAACAAACCATTTTTTTTTTAGGCTTAATATTGACTCCGCTATTAAACACATCAAATGACTGAAGTTAAAAATCTGAAATTCGTGCTTGTGTTAAATTTTGTATTCTAATCTATGTTTTGTATTGTATTTTATTGTGTTAATGTCGATTCTAATATATAAATCATACTTTATTTTAATAGACAATCCACACGAGCTGCGTCAGTTAGAGCGGGATTTGTTGGCGAGAGACAGGAAGAGGGTGGCTGAAGAGGACGACACAACTAGTGATGACAAATCCACTGAGAACAAGGACAACGACGAGGAGGAGGACGAAGTACCCAAACCTAAGCCTCGGCGTATGACGTCAACACCAAAGACAAAGAAGGCCAAAACAAAAGAGGTACTTTATTAATTTTTTATGAATGATTAGGGCCTACAGTATTTTAATTTATTATTATTATTATTATTAATGATAATATTTTAAACATATTTATTCAACACTTTATATTATAATCCATCATTAAAACAACTACACAACATATGGTTAGTAATATCGTTGTTTATTTGTGAACTATAAATCTATGACGTCAACACCAAAGACAAAGAAGGCCAAGACAAAAGAGGTACTTTATTTATTAATTTTTTATGAATGATTAGGGCCTACAGTATTTTGATTTATTATTATTATTATTATTAATGATAATATTTTAAACATATTCAACACTTTATATTATAATCCATCATTAAAACAACTACACGACATATGGTTAGTAATATCGTTGTTTATTTGTGAACTATAAATCGATAGGCTCCCAGGGTGTTGCTTCGAAGTGGGTCAGTTCAAGTACCTGCAGCTGCAGCGATAGAGCCCGAGCCGGAACCAGTACATAACCAGACAAGCGATACTCTTTTGGGGGTAGTTGAGAGACTCCGCGACGGCCTTCTATATGACCAGCCTCCACCATGGTTCGCCCAGTTTGCACACAAGGTTGAAAATATTCTTTCTGGTATGGTGTCGCAGCTAGCTGAACTGCAACGAAAACCAACGTACCAATAACCTAAATGAAGTCGCCGAACCTCTAGACAATTCTGTTGGCCCCGACGAGAACCAATTCCTCTCAAGGTCAGTGATCAGAGAAGTGCGCAGGTGCTCATCGTCAGCCCACAACTTTGCTCTCGGTATGGCACGGAAGTTATTCAGCAAAGAAGAGATAAGAATAAGCAATGTGAATGGCAAGCAAGGGCACCAGCAGCTAGACCTGGTCCGAATTTCATTTATAAAGAAGAGAGTGTTAAGGTAATCCACATTTTACTTACTATTACAGTAACTAAAATTTTATTTTACGAATGCTGAATTTTCTTTAACAGTACACGTGTGATCATTTTACCTGGAAAAGTAAATTTACTATTATTATATATTATAATTATTATTGTTGTTGTACAATGAACTTCCTTAAAAATAATAGTATTAATGATGATAATAATAATTCATACTACAGTATATGTACTGTATAATCAGGGAGATGTATAATCACTTAATTTTTACCTGGAAATGTAATTTTGTACAATTATTATTATTATTATTATTACAATGCTTTGTTTTTATTATTATATTTTAAAGGTATTACTCCATACCAGAGAGTGAGCAGACCAGAACTTGGAAGAGATGCACCATTGCCATTGATGAGAGATGTAGACGTTTGAGAAGGCCGCAGCGGCCTCGACCACTACAAGCTATTCAAGTTCAGCCACCCCATGTTCAGCCAATGCCGTTCCAGCCACCCCCTGTTCAGCCAGCGCCGTTCCAGCCACACACAGTTCTGCCAGAGCCAGTCCAGCCACCCCCAGTTCAGCCACCCCCAGTTCAGCCAGCAGCTATCGAGCGGTTCAGCCTTTAAGCAGACAAATCAAACTAAACAGCTCTTTTCAGAGCCACCATATGAATAAAAAAGAGATTTGAAAGAATTTATGCTAAAACACAAGGAACATCACAGAATCCCCCCAATTCCTTCTACAATTACAACACTAAAACATCAATAACACATCTTTTTTTTAAAGATATTTTTTAAACAATAATTTTAAAGAACTACAATAACTTGAATTCCCCAATAAGTTGATGATAAGAATATGCTACCTTTACATTAGATAAAACAATATACCAATATTAAAATAAAATATTATAATAGAATATAATTATGATAAATATGAACATATACATAAATGTTATTTAATTAGTTTCTCAGCATAATTCCTCATCCTTTTAAGAATAAGTTACACTATGATCATGATATTGGTCATAATATTGATTTTGTATTGTATTATTTTTTTATTGTATTAATAAATTAGACCATCCAACAAACAGCATAAAACATAAGCTGTAAATCTTTGAAAAAGTGCCGCACCAAACTACTGTAAATAAATAAATAACACAATGAAGACACAAGGATTTACTTATAAAAGTTTATCTACGATGATGTAGGCCTATGGTATGATAGGCCTGTTGAACAATGGAATCTAACCTTTGTAACTATGGGAAATAAGCTCACTAAAGCTTTCTTTTAAAAATGTTATAAGCGCCGCTTATTATGGATTATTATTAATAAATGTATGTACGATTGTTTTCAATCTTTTAAATTGTTGTATTATAGCATAGACCCAGTATTTTAATATAAGCGATTGTGCCCCTTTACAAGTTTGTTGTGGCGTACTGTAGGTCTTATACTGATAAAAAAAATTTTAAAAATGATAATTTACCATATACCATAAAAATTAAGATGTTGTGTAAAGCCTAATGTTGTTTTGTATGGATTATTATTAATAAATGTATGTATGATTGTTTTAATTCTCTTAAATTGTTGTATTATAGCATAGGCCTAGTATTTTAATATAAGCGATTGTGCCCATTACAAGGCATCGTATCACAAATCATTTCTACCAACGCAGAAGTTGACTGCATGGAAAAAAGCGGCAGATTTTGGAGATGGTCGGTCGGTTGGCCAGCCCAAGATAAAAAAGATCTTCTCTGGTATAGTAAAGAGAATGTTATTAAAATTGTCACACCACCGATACCTGTATCCAATCGTGGACAGTTAATGTTTGAGGACTTTCCATAATTGATAATATTTGGCGTAACCTGGTGTGATGAAAGGGGCGACTGATGTGACCCATACATGTTAAAATATTTGGTGTTTCCTAGTTTGTCATAATTCACAAAACTAGCATTAAAATCATCTGCAATTCCTCAATTGGACTTTTGCATCACCCCATCATAAAATATTTGTGTCAGACATTTGCAAATGATTGAAATTTTGTGAACATAATCAATCTTTCTTGCAATTTTGGTCAATCCGCCTGTGCTTATTGGTTGCATTTCTATTCCAATGTTAACATTGACCCTATTAAAATATCTTGAATATTAAAAAAATAATAATATAATAATTTAGACTGAATTGATTGATATGATTAATGTATGTAAAAATGTATCAATGTTCATCGGTTGCACTACAAGAGTTCAAAAAATATGCATCTTTATAAGTCTTTGTCTATACAACATTTTATGAAATGTTTATCCAGAGTAATTGGTAATGTGTGAATTCAAATCATAGTTGTTTGAAACTTATTTGATAGTGAAGTACAGTACTTTAATTAGTTACAATGGTATGTACTGTACTGACATGTTCATTCAATTTGTAAGAGAATGTCTGTCAGATAAATATAACTTTAACCTGTTAATTAAATTTATTTGTCTAACTGTGGTAACGTAATTAATGATAACCCTATAAAAACGTGTCTAACAACTACTGCGAGAAATGTATGTCAATGTTCGTCCGTTACACCACCACAAGAGCTGTGTGTCAATAAGTCTTTAAATAAAATATAGTTTAAGATATAGTTTAATATCCAGGGGCGGACCCAGGGGTGTTGCCCTAGTTGCCCGGGCAACACCCTTAATTTCATACTAATATGTTTTCTTGTCATAAATTACATAGGCCTAATCCGTAATACAGAGTAGGCCTACTATTAATTTATTATCCCATTATATATAACGTTATATTTACTGGAATTTCAGGGTCAGGCTGAGAATACTTTGTGTGCGGTATTGACTGCTGCGTAAATTTAACCAAAAACGTGCCGTGTTAGAATACGCGCTGATTTGTGTGTAGCGCGCGATCTAGCTACACCGATCGAGAATACCTGTCTCTTATACACATCTAGATGTGTATAAGAGACAGTGTTTTAGGTGTACAAACTCATAAATACCGGCAAAACGAAGCAGGAGATAAAGAAAAAATCGTAGCCGTCGCCGTTCACAAGACGTCTGGAAATACTTAATATTACATTCCAGACGCTGTAATACTCATGACGTTCACATACAAAGCATACTGCCTAGGCTTACTACTACTAGACAGATGCCTACTGTCTAATCCTTGAAATGTCTAGGCCTAGCTAGCCTAGGTCTATATGGCTACACACTGGTATGTACACACAGATTGAATATCTTTGTATATTCAAGAATGGTGCAGACATGAACATAGGTCTATATAAAATATGAATGATATGCCATCATATTAAATTAAAGCTAAATTATATTTTTGTTTCGTAAACCATTATTTATTTATTGATTGTACGTGGATATTAAGCAATAACACGTTTTATACGGTAAACTGAGAAAGTAATTCCTCAGAAAATGTGGTGTCTAAACCATTTTCTACCCGGTGAAAGTTAAATAAACGCTACTGAGAACCACACGGGTTTTAGCGTATTTAGCAAAATTTACACCCTCCAGAAAAATGGACTGTGCCAATGGTATTTTTAGATCGCTTGGAATATTTTTAGATCGAAGGATGGAATTCGAACAAATTGCTAGCGAGATTGGTAAGTATTTTGACTGAATTACTAATTATAATATCACTAGTACATTAGTTCTTATTTTATATCATTAACGTGGGTTTTAACAGCCCGCTAATATAGATAAATGATTTAAATGCTAGGCCTAAATATTACTGATCTACGGTGTCACGAATGGTCGCTTTCTCGCCTTACTCAACAAGCGAACTCCGCGAGTCGTATCACTGCACTGCGACCATTCTTGCTAGATTGGGCCTAGTTATTGGAGGTTTTAAGTAAGTAATAAATAAGTCTCGAGTATGCCTAGCTAATTAGGCCTAGGCTAGATAGATGTATGATGGATGAAGAAGTAATTTATAATATGAATTGTTTTTGCAGATGATGATGTTTTCAAAAGTTTGAAGATCGAGTTTGGGAAAGGCAGAGGGAGGCCAGTTACAGGAGGCTTGCATAGTAAACCTGTACAAAACAAGTTTCTTGTACAGGTTTACTATGCAAAGGAGGCATCCGGAAAGCCCTGGCGTAAGGTAGGTACCACAGTGAGAAATGAGATTACAGTTATAAATAATTATTTAATTATTCATTAAAAAAAAATCAATTATTTTGTTTTAAAATAGTCTGTATCAAAGAATAATCAGATCAGAATAATATCATCTGAGAGGAAATTAGGGGTGGTTTTTTTTTGGTTTCTTGGCCATCATTTTTGCCTGTCGGTATTCTCCCAATACAAAAAATAATACTGACTCACTCAATAAAACACACTTTTGATTGAATTTTAATTCCGGTCTGGAGCCTTTTATTCTGGCTAAAATAAAATGTTCGCAAAACCGGCTTCAGGAGAATACTGTGCAGTGGATGATAAAATATTTTTTCATTAAATAATTCAATGACATTCCCAATTATGATTTTTTTATAGGTTGAAGAAGTTCTCAGGAGGCGATTCCCATATTACGAATCATCTTGGAAAGTGTTAATCCAATCAACAGTTGCCAAAATTCCTTTGTGTGAAGACGATAGGCATAATTTTTTTTAAGTTGATCGTGATCTTTTGTTTGTGGGTATGTTAGGGAGTTAGTCATTACACTTTGATTTCTATATTTTCATACTAGTGTATTAATACTAATTTTTGACAGGTAAGTATTTGTTCGAATTAACTGTTTTAAAGAATGAATATAAATTGCACTGTAATTTTATATTGAAAATTAAACAAATCTATGTTTTAATTGAAGTTGTTTTCTGTTTCTTTGTCTTTTAAAAGATTTTTTGTTCAGCACTAATATATTACATTATCATCTTGCAAAATACAGAAAAAAGGTTATGCACATAGTTTGTTTGTTTTTGTTGAAATAATGGAAAGAAAATTGTTGAGTCAAGAGAACTAATTTTATTTGAATTTACTTGTTTTCAAATTGATTAAATACAAACAAAACTACAGTATGTCCATGACTTAGTTTCTTATCCATTTATTTGTCAAAGGTGAGAGATGCAATGCCCTAGGCATTAATCGGAGCAGTGATGAAGCACCAGAAACGCCATTGCCGCCACTGACCAGGGGAGTTCTTTATGAACTCTGCCTGGTCTATTCTGGTGAAGACCTGTATGCCAAGATAGACCTGTTTTGGCCCCAGCAATTCACAGCAGGCGACATTAAAAGGGCGGTGAAAGACACAAAAAAATCATACAAGCGTCTCAATAAGGATAGGAGATGGAGCGTGGCAGGAAGAGAATATCTAGAGGAGGAATTAGACTTAATAAATTATAGTAAAAGCAGTAATTTAGATAAGGTCCATGAAGATATGAAAGATGAAATGTACTTGTTAAAACAAAAAATGCACAAGATGAATGAAGAGATGGCACAGATGAAAGAGAAGTTGAGTGTAGTGAAAGGGTTGTGTGAAGAGAAAGAAGTGAAGTGTGGTGAAATGAAAAGTAAGCTAGAAGAGTTGATGATTGAAAAGAAGAAACTTGAAGAAGAAAGGAAATATAAAAATGATGAATGTAATAATTTATCTGTATTAGTAGAAGAAACAAATAAGGAGTTGAAAGGTTTAAAAAGTAGGAAGGCCTGGAAAGCATTGAATATGAAGCAGCAGAGTATTTCAGTGAGGGAGAAGCACATACTTAAGCATCAGAAAACAATTGGTGACTGGAACATGCAGATCAGAAAGCTCAAACAAAAAAATAGTAATTTAAAAAAATCTAGAAAAAATTCAAATGACCAGGTGACCAAGTTAGAAAGA